GATGAGATGAGATGAGATGAGATGAGATGAGATGAGATGAGATGAGATGAGAAGAGATGAGATAAGATGACATGACATAACATGACATAACATAATATGAGATAGATAAGATTAGAGGAATTGAGATAAAAGGAGATCGAATGAGATGAGATGTGTTGAGATGAAAAAAGATCTGATAAGATGAGATGTTAGAAGATGAGATAGAACGAGATGAGATGAAATGAAATGAGATTAGATTAGATAACCTATGTTTAGTTGACCTTTGATTATATGACTTGAGTTGAGCCGAGATGAGTTGTGATTCTTTGAGATACTTTTATATTTTTAGTGATTATAAAGGATTTTAATATTCAAGTTTTTAATTTATTTTTTATTACTTGTTATGTCATGTATTGAGATGAAATTGGATCATATGATATGAGATATGTTGAGTTGATTTTATATGTGCTAAGATTATTAAATTTTTTTATATATTTTCAAATCAATTGTTTATTTACTCGATTATTCTAGATTTTTTTATTTCTAACTGATTGAGATTATTTAAGATTCGAATTTTTAAGATTTGATGAAATGTAATTAGTTGACTTGACATGTGAGTTAAAAAGATGAGATGATATAAGTTGAATTGATAGGAGATGAGATGATTAGTGTTAAGTGGAGATGAAGTGCTTGAAATTTTTAAAAATATGATTTGATCAAATGTAATGAAACTAGTGTAAATTTGAGTAGATCATCTTAAACCATAACACATTAGATGAATTGAGATAATAGGAATGTGCTCATAAAATATATCCTTATTCCTCTGATTTGGTTTTTAGAGATGATATAGCGAATCCTCTTACAATAGAACAGGTGCTTTGTCAGACTTTGGGAAATATCATAACTATTATAACATATCGCTTTGGAAAAATGACTACCATTACTTGATCCTCATCACTATAATTATTTTTCTTCAATATCTCTTACTTCATCAGCATATGTATGCCCTTCTTATAATATTTAAAGGTTTTCCTCTGCTTATTTTATACTTCCCGTTGCCTGATGCATAGTGCCTGCATGCGAGGCTTTTTCCCATGCCCTTATTATATTACTTGTATGCATATGTACTTTCGATAATAAATTAATATTAATTTTTTGCAGTCATATAAATTCAGATATGTTTAAAACAGGAAATAAAAAGGATTTCGTGATTTCTGTCTTTTTCACATTAATTTTACATTTCTCCAAGCCGACTTCCATCTTGACGCGTCTGAGGATGTCACCATAAATGGTTACTCTTCCTCAGGCTCCATCCGAGCCTCACCTCAGATCGCTAGTTCGCAGACCAGTGAGCGCCTCGATTCCGGAGTCGGTCTCCAGCTTGCCAGTCCCTGGACGCAGGCCGGTACCATCGCTTTCGATGTCGGCAGCAGCGGTCTTCTCGATGGCTTGTCCGAGTCACCCAATATGGCGGCTGAGTTATTCGGTAGCCTCGAGTGTATCGGCAGAGAGGGCTTCTTCTCGTATCGGCCGTCGAGCGGTTCAGAAAGCAATCTGGCCGAGAGCCTGACCACCAGTCCATCTATTCGGCTCCTGGATCCTCTGGAATTGGCAACCTGGAAACAAACAACGGTCGCCCTGACCACGCTTGCTAGCCACAGACAGACGACGGGAGAGCATAGCTTTGAGCCCATTGCGGAAGAGGACGAGGCAGCCGTTGACGCCACACTGGCCGAGCACGCCTCAGCGGTGAGGAGCACACTCAGGGACCTTGAAAGCCTGGTTTGTCATTCTGTCTTGGATCTGTCTTTCCTCCCCTTCACACTGGAGGACCCAGAACTCCTGACATAATATTTTACTTCATAGCTCCGCCAGTCTGGCAGATGGCACGAAGCAATC